AAAGCGTGTGTTGAAGTTGAAGCGACTGTGGAAATTCTGTGTATTATGAAGTTGTATCGAGAAATAATAAACTAGTTTTAGTTAAGAAAGGACTTGTATCGCTAAAGTTTCTCGGGTAGAATTTATACCGGAAATTAACAAACGACCAGAGACGTGACAACACCATAATCGAAAAGAGAGTTTGAAAATATTAATTTTTCCCTTTTCTTTAAATGAGCACTCGAGTGTTCATCATCTCTTGGACTGTTGTGTTGTAATACGAAAACATACAACCTCACATTACGTAACAAAATCTATGATCAACTGAAATTACAGTTTGAAACAATATCAACTCTCATCGCCTCACCCAAGTCGATTACACAGAATGTTACCCAATAAGGCTTTATATGACTTTAACCCCTTGCTTAGTAACTAAAGGGTCATATTTGGTACGCCCGTTATTTCTATTCCCAGAGACCGTATAAGAACCTTGTATTTGGTACGCCCGTTATTTCTATTCCCAGAGACCGTATAAGCATACTTTGATAAGAGGTTTTTCACACTAAATCCATTGACTTATCGCCTTTAGGGACTTTCTTCAATAAGATATAGACGCAAGGGTGAAGCGTGAAAATGTGTTTGTCAAAACAATTGCACTAAGCCATTTAGGTATAAAAGATCATCAAAATTAAATGTTAAAGTATAATACATGAAAAAAAACATCAAAGTGTTTTCATATTAAGATGCATCACAGTCTTTAGCTCAGATTCTTACTTCTAGGCTCTCGACACAAAAAATATAAACAGTATTGACATAAATTGTATTTCCTATCTCTAGAGGCTATGGTTTCGAAAAATTACTTTTTATGAAATGTATCATGTAATATACACAACTTCCGATGCCCTTAAATCATCTAGTAGCAAGAAACAGGGGTTCTGATGAATTTAGATATTCATGCTCATGGCATCTACTATGTTATATTATTAGTTGATTTAAATGGATTTAGAATATTCTGTTCTGGTATAATAAATGGATTAAAACAATGAATTTTTATAATTCTGATAATAACTGTTACAGTTTGTTTGTTTTTTGCTCATCGGATTCCTGCTTCTAAGCTCTTGACACACAAAAAAGTGATCAACAGTATGTAATCCATTTGTGTATTTGTATTATCACCGATTGTTTTTGTGTTCAGAACATTCGCGCAATGACGCACAAGGGCCATTTGTGCAGAGCCGTCCCTAATTTTGAACAAATAAAACAACTCTTGAGCTACTTTCTTTATTATCGATTAGTGATATTTGATTGGGCCGAAAGTGCGGAGCGCATTTTTGCAGCAAAGGGGTGTGAAGTAAGCCCACAGTCCAAGCACACTAGCCAATATCACCTGTGAACCATTAAAATGGATTTATTCGTTGATTAATGACACTTTCTGAATGTTGACGACCTCTCTCTTCCTTATTATTGTGGTTTATTAGTATTTTCAATGTTAGCCTAGTTTGCTTCCATTCACTAAACCTGAAAGTCTCGGTATGTTAATTAAAAACAAAATTCACACGATAAATTATTCTTTGATAGCACCCTCTGGTTGTAGCTAAGTTGTTATAATATATATACTTTTACAATGTATTAATAAATTACCCTTGCTATTTGTATCTCCCTCTTGAAGTGATAAAATTACTTCGAAATATTCACGATTTATACAGCATAGCCCTTCATGTGAGAGCGTTATTTACCTTAAAGAGGTTTATTAGTAAAGGAGAAGAGGAATCTTTTACAAAGGTTCTCTCTCTGTCTTACCCTCCAGTGGCACAGCGGTATGTCTGCGGTCTTACAACGATAGAAACCGGGTTTCGATACCCGTGGTCGGCAGAGCACAGATAGCCCGTTGCGTAGCTTTATGCTTAACTACAAATTCTCTGTCTCTTCAATTTTTCATTTAATTATCAAATCTCTGTTTTTGAGGCTTAAGAAATATTATTAAGAACTTTGGACAAGATGTTTAAATTTATTCTTCATATGTGTATGCCCCCTAGTGGCACAGCTGTATGTCTGCGGACTTAAAACGCTAGAATCCAGGTTTCGATACCCGTTGTGGGCAGAGCACAGATAGCCCATTGTATAGCTTTGTGCTTAATTACAAACAATCATAAAAGTATAAAAGGAATATTGTTATTATTTCAACTAAAGAGGAAAGCATGTTAATACTTACTCTTTATGAAATAAAATTAAATATTACAGTCAATTATGACAGCTACAATGTGATCTAAGGCTTTAATAGATGTTAAAATTTTAACATTAGCAAATACAGTTTAGCATATGCCAGCATATAAAAATGGAAAAACAATAATCAAATATCATAATTACTATTTTAATTTACTTATGACCAAAGCAAGCTACCCACAGTGATTTGGAACTAAAAATCAACCCAGTAATGAACATAGCTAATTTAATATTCTGTACTTACATTTTTACTTGTTAGCGATATCTTCGGCCATAATCCCAATAACGTAAGGTTCGGTCAAGTTAGAAGATTTGGGTTATTCATAAATCTGTATACTGAGTTAACAACGCAAATAATCCTTATAATAAAATGTACAATAATAAAAATCATAATCAATAAAAATAAGTATATTAAACATTCTAAATAAAACTACTAATTAAAGTAACATTACAGAAAAAATACGGTAAAATAACATAAACTACTGAATCTGTAGATCACGATTCGTCAGAGAAAAGTTATACGCATGAAGAGTACAAGTTTCTTACAAAACACACAAACATTAGTGTTTCCTTCTTAGATTATCGTAGACTTCACATTCATGAAGAACTCGGTAATAATGGACATTTTTGTGATAAAACTAGATTTGTTCTCATAGTTTTTTATTTTTTGTTTTTTTAGACGCTCCTGACTCAGTTTTCTAGACATTACTTCGGTTTGATTTCGTTCTCTTGTTTATTAGGACTACTAGTCTGAATTAGGAAGAGCTCGACTGTAAATTGCTGTTCCAACTATATGGAGCAACAGTTTGTTAACATTGAATGTTAACTGACTGACGCCAGTCTTGATAACATATTGTTCTCTTTATTTGCCCCTACAATTTCGAAATTTATTGATATTATAGTCCGTTTGTCCATTTTAAAAATGGCATTATGTTTCCAATATTTTAATATAAATATAAAATTCATGAATCACAAAGACAATAGTGAATCCCGCTGTTGTTGAAGAGATGTTTCAATAACCACACTGAGACGACTGGCAAGAGGATGGTAATAGGATACAAATCCTTCTTTCTTGTCATGGTGTTTTGGATATTTCGAATATTATAATTCTATTGTGGCATATAACGCTTTATGCCAACAAAACACGAGCTATGGTTTGTGTAATATTAAATCACATTAAGGTTCATAATAATTTTTCACAAACATTTCTACATTTATCTACAGGTTTCCAGTCAGAAAAACATAACAGCATCTCGACCATATACTTTGTGTGTCGTACGCCGCTGCCGACGAGGCCTTTTGCTCAATGCCAAAGCTCATCAAGCCGCATGCAATGTGATTATCAGTCTTATTGCGATGTAAGGTTACACAAACAAACGACTATATATTTATATCTTTTTTTGTTGTTGTTGTTGTTATGGTATGAATGCCTCTTACCAGATGGCGAAGAATGGTTACTATTATTCTTGTCCCAAAATATTAACATTAGGCTTATTACATTATTAAACTCTACAATCTTAATCTAGTCCTTTAGAGATGTTCAATACCTTATTTCAGACATTATGACAAGCAAAATTTTATTATTTTATTTTCTAAGCATATTTTTATTGTTGCAAGCTTTCTATTGTTTTCCATATGCCACTTTTGAGTAAAACACAATAGTCATACAATGTAATGCACCGAGGCTTCAAATAGCTAACATTGTTGATATTCGTTTTAAATCTGTCCTGTAGTTGTATCAGCGCAAAGCTACACAATGGGCTATCTGCGCTCTGTCCACCACAGAGAATCGAATCCCGGATTTATAACATTGTAAGTCAGTAGACCTATCGTTGACCCACCGGAGTCTGTTCTGATTAGCACTTGCTCATTTGTATACACTATCCCAGTGAAGTTGTAAGAAAAGAGAGTCATCATGGTTGTCGAAACACAAGTTCCCAAATAAATGACCCGGCATGGTGAGGTAGTTAGGACGCTCGATTCGCAATCTGCGGGTCGCGGGTTCGAATCCCCGTCACACCAAACATGCTCGCCCTTTCAGCCGTGGGGGTGTTATAATGTGACGGTCAATCCCATTATTCGTTGGTTAAAGAGTAACCCAAGAGTTGGCAGTGGGTGGTGATGACTAGCTACCTTCCCTCTAGTCTTACACTGCTAAATTAGGGACGGCTAGCGCATATAGCCCTCGTGTAGCCCAAATTTAGCAGTGAAAGACTAGAGGGAAGGCAGCTAGTCATCACCACCCACCGCCAACTTTTGGGCTACTCTTTAACCAATAAATAGTGGGATTGACAGTCACATTACAACGCCCCCACGACTGAAAGGGAGAGCAGATTCGGTGATGGGGTTTTAAGAAGTAAAATTACTTCTTACGATAAAAATAACAACTTCATCTCCATATCGGATTTGAGATGTAATAATCTAAACATTTTTAAAATTAATACATTTATGTGATAAAATAAAACTTAGTTTAAATGACAAACCTTTCTCACTGCTACAATTGGGAATGAATTTCGGTTATTTTGTTAGCAGTTAGATGGATGTACATCTTATTAAGGAGTCACACCTTATTCGGGGTCAAGACGCTAACTAGTAATATTAACTTACCAATATTCATTATTAGATTATGTTAAACAGGAGGCGGAACCTTCTTGAATAGAAATCTTGCTTTTGAACGGAGTGCAACCTGAATGCGTGCAAATCTCAAGATTGGTGACCAGCTCTTCTACAGTATCTTCGTGTCGAACTTGAATTTAGCTGTGTTGGAAAGTTGCCAGATTTCTAGTGGGCTCAGCGAGAACTAGAGTTGAAGATGACTACTGAGAGTGCTGCCTGTGCTTTGTTCTCAATCAAGGCTGAAAGTAAAACGCTTTAGGTTAGTTGCAGCCTTTTGGATAGATCATGCGATGTCTTATGCGCAAACGCAGAAGTTTAGGCAGCTTTATATAATAAAGTCACCTTCCCTAACAGCGTAGCCGAGACATTTTCTGAATATATTAGAACAGAAAATGCAGTCATGGCTTCTGCTTAGAATGTACTGTGGTTTATATACCACACTTATGTGAACACCACTAAACTGTGTGGAAATATAGAGCCTATTTTGTTTGTTGTTGTTTTGTTTTTGTCCTTAAGATGCAGGTTCGTAAATTGACCAACTTTCATAGCTCTTCACGAACTTGTGGTTAAAGTTAAGCGCAAACTAATTATAGAAGTCAACCATCATTATTGGTCGGTGCATCGGAATAATGTAGAACTACTGGTTGATGAATGGGGCTGGTAATTAATTATGTAACGTTTGCATACAGGGGGGTTTCAGGTTCTTACTTATTTCAGAGTTATGTTGAAATGTTGTACATCAAAACGAAATTTATTATTTTTTTTTTGTTATTTTGTTTTCAAGTCTTGATAGAAAAAACAACAACATGTAAATAAAGCAATGTTTGCTTGTTTGGAAGATGAGCTGAAAAATAAAGACGCCTATAAATGTAACCAACGCGACGCGCCAAAATAAAGTATCTTTTATTAGTTTGCTATAGTCAGTGTGCTATAAACTTCGGAAGCTATAACTGTGATTGTTATTACGCTTATCAATCGGAAAACATAAGATATCTGACCAGGAACCTTTACAAAGTTCGAACATTATAAATCATTTAACTTTAGTGGATTCTCATCAGACATAAGTATTTTTACAAAAACATTATATAACTTTATCTTGGAAAACTGAGTGTGTGGCTGGTGAATAACGAAGGACAAAGCTAGCTAGCTTCCCTGTTAAGTGAATTATATCTACATCAACTCGTAATTAACTCGCTCATCGTGAACCCTCCATAAGATATTGAAGAAGTTCCAGACTACAAAGAAGACTTTATATTGCTTGTAAGTTTGTGAAACTTTTGTTTATAAATCATTGTTTGTAATTACTATTTGTAAGAACTGTTATTGTTGTGTGTATATTAAAACGTATTTGTGTTAAAAAAGAAAAATGTTTATCAATCTTGTTGGCAAATATCATAAACTGACTATATATCGGCTTTAATTTAACTACTAATGTTACGTATTAGAATTTCGAATAGTCCGAAGCAGAGTTAACT